GGACTTGATTTAATTTTCCTCAATTTCAGCTTGAACTTGCATATGAGTAGTTGGTGATCTGTCCCACATTCAGCACCCGGCCTGGTTTTTACTGCTGATAATTGAGCTTCTCCACCGAGTCTTTCCACAAATGTAATCTATTTGAGTCCTATGCATACCATAAGGTGAGATCCATGTGTTTAGCCTGCGTTTATGTTTCTTATAGAAGGTATTTCAATGAATAAATCATTGAATGTTCAGAACTCTATCATTCTATCTCCAGCCTCATTTCTCTCACCGTGACCGTATTTTCCAGCTACTGATCCTTCTTCCCTGTTCCCATCTTTTGCGTTCCAGTCACCAATTATTATGAATGCATCTTGATTGCATGTTTGATTAACTTCTGACTGCAAAAGTTGCTAGAAATCTTCTATTTCCTCCTCTTTGGCTCTAGTTGGTGCATATATTTGAATGATAGTGGTATTCACTGGACTTCCTTGTATGCATATGGATATTATCCTGTCGCTCACCACATTGTATTTCAGGATGGATCTAGAAATGTCTTGTTAGTTATGAAACAAACCCCATTCTTTCTCACTTTTTCATTCCTGGCATAGTAAATCATCTGATCTGAATCGTCTGATTCAAAATGTCCCGTGCCAAGCCATCTCATTTCGCCAATACCTAGTATGTCAATATTTATGCGTTGAGCTGTAGTGTTGGAAAAGAGCAATGAACATTCCGTGGATTGCCAAAAGAACAAACAGGTATGTTTTGGAAAAATACAGCCAAAATGCTCCTTGGAAGCTAGGGTGGTAAAGCATTGTCTTCCACACTTTTGAGGATGTTGGTAAGAAAATCTATTCCTTGGAAAGAGACATCATGCTTGAAAAGGGGGAGTGTCAGTAAAAGCAAGGAATACCCAAAACACATGGATTAATATAGTGATTGCAGCAATGGGCTCAAGATGATGATTTATGGCACAGGATAGGACAGGGCCTATATCTGTTCACAGTACCTAACAACAACATGAAGCCAAATAAAATGCCATGACTTGTTTCAGATGCACCTTACCTGGCTTTTAAAGAATATTTAATAGTATTTGTTGTTCTTGATTGCCTTCAAGTCAAGCACGACTCATAGTGACCCTATGAATAAAAGGCCTGAATGAAGCCCCTCTACAACTATCACCATTATCCAAGTTCATAGAGTTTCCGGAGGCATGTTATTTGGGAAGTGGATGCCACTCGGCAGACAAATTATTTTCTCCTACAGAAAGATAATATTTTAGTGTGATGCTCAATAGGAAACGAAAGAATTAATTCAGTATGTGGCTTAAATATATCTTTTTTACAATGCATGACCAATTACATCTTATTGTCAGGTTATTTTCAACTTATGGGCAGGAGCTCCACTTTGGCTCAAAATAACTTTAGCTAATCAGAAGTTAAGTACTTGAGATTCTTTTTTAATATAATATTATTAAATCAATTTTATATTAATATGAAACAATTTTATATCAAAGTACTGCTATAAAATACTGAATGATCTTTATGTGGAGCTAAGGGTTATAATTCTTTCTTGAAATAGGTAACTTATAATCACATAAACCTGCTAGGTAAATTTTCTTTTAAGGTAGGAATTACGTACTGATTAAGTTGTTAAAAATTTGAGAGTACCAAGTGCTAAATAAAGGCTAATGGTTTTACAACTATCCAATATGTTAAGGGATGAAATGAAAAAAATATAATAGTATATTGGTGTACAACTGAAAGAGACCTTTGGTGATGCTGTGGTTAAAGTGCCCATCTTGAAGAATCAGTGATTTAAACCTACCTGGCACTTAGTGAGACAATTATGTAGAAGACAATCTCAGTGAAGATTTGCAGTGAAGAAGGCCCATGGGGCACTTTACTAGTGACCTACAGGCTTGTTAGGAATTGGAATTACAGCAATGAAAACGAGTTTTCTATAGGATCACGTCTTTCCATAGCAATCCAAAAATAATAAACACAGCTTCATGTCACCTGTTTTTGCTTTTCATAGTAATAATAGACTGAAATGATCAGATTTTATAATACAATTTTAATTTTATTTTAGACATATTCTGTATGCTATAAAAATATTGATCACAGTGAGTTTTACCAATTGTTATTGCTATAAAAATGAATTAAGAAACAATATTTTTAGTGGAAATAAATTATATAGTCATTATTTTTATTTTTTAAACATGAGGAAATAACTTCAGCTGTTTGGTCTTTGGCAGATAACCATTCTTAACAGAAGTCCTTTGCAGGTAAGCTTCAGTCCATTTCTGTAAAGTTATCCACAAATGGTTCAGAAAACACTAGTTTCTGTTTTTGTCTCCATGGTCCCATATTGGTCTCTGTTTTCATAGACAGTTCTAAAATTGCAACACAGTTTTTCTTGATAGAAAATGATGAAAATAGTACTATCTTAGTTCATATTTGTCTTTTCCAATACGAAGGAACACAGCGACATACTTCTTCACTAAATGAAAATCCAGGCTCACAGTGGCTCTGTCGATTTAGACATGGCCTTCTGTAACAACTAGAATAAAAAAGAGGAACATATTTTCATTAAAGGTCAGAGCAATTAATGCCTTATGCCACAAATGCACTTTTGTGTTATTCTAAATGTCAAAGTACAACAAAATTGCTCATTTTATAATAAAATTCTTCTTAGTTCTATAAACTTTTCAAGTTTATGCCTAGAATATAATAATTTAAAAGCAATGGAAAAGCCTAAAAGACTGGCTTCCTGGTGTAGCAATTGCAAAGATGGGGCACTGTAAACATTAGTTCTTTTGAAGTGCTCTCTGCATCATGGATGAAAGTCACATAAAACAGAAATTATGAAAGTGATCATTTAAGGCCTGCTGATTTATTGTGAATCACATAAGCATAATCCACAAGGATCTGGGTCTGGTATGGAACCCAGACTTCCAGCCAATTAAACACAGCCACTTTGGCAGGACCATGGTTGTTAGTGAGCAGTCCCACCCTAAATCCTATCTTTCACTTGGCAACTAGCTGCATGATGGTGGCCAACTCTTGCTTTTTCCACCTGGGTTGCATGTGAAACAAATATAGCCAGGAAAAGGAGTAGAGAGAGAAATTACACGATGGTGTTTCCCAGTAAGATGTGTCAGTTTCCAGCAGTGGTGAAAGTCCAAATTGCTAATATTTCAACTGTGTGAATAGACATGGTGTTTGAATGGTTTGGAACTATTTTTTTTTAAAACTTTCTTGGAGTATGAGCATGCCTAATGTAACTGGTGTCCATGATGGCATATACATTGTGTACATGATGGGAAGTACCTGATGGGGTGTACATAGAGGGACTGGTGTACATAATGGGACAGTACATGATGGGGTGTACATAGAGGGAATGGTGTACATGATGGGACGTACCTGATGGGGTGTACATAGAGGGACTGGTGTACATGATGGGATGTATCTGATGGGGTGTACATAGAGGGACTGGTGTACATAATGGGACAGTACATGATGGGGGTATACATAGAGGGACTGGTGTACATGATGGGACATACCTGATGGGGTGTACATAGAGGGACTGGTGTACATGATGGGATGTATCTGATGGGGTGTACATAGAGGGACTGGTGTACATGATGGGATGTACCTGATGGGGTGTACATAGAGGGACTGGTGTACATGATGGGACGAACCTGATGGGGTGTACATAGAGGGACTGGTGTACATGATGGGACGTACCTGATGGGGTGTACATAGAGGGACTAGTGTACATGATGGAATGTAAAATGATCTGACATGTGGAAAGTAACAGAAGATTTTTTTTAAAGGACAAATTTGGCTTTAAATTTTCATTTCCTACACTTAAAAACAACAATAACAACAAACTTAAAAGATAAAACTCAAAACCTTAAAGAGTTATATAATCTTATAAATTGAAAAGCTGTACTTCTAAATAAAAATGCATGTTAAAGACCTGAAGACACATTTATAATAAATAAATTTGTCAGTGGTCAATAAAAAGTACTGATTAAAGGAATGAAACAAAGAATACATACTCTTGTCTACCATAATTTCAGAATATCTGTCAATGAAAAGCAGTATTTTTTAAGATTATTATCTCTTTCCATTCTTCCTATAATTGTACTTAGATAAAGAATAAATAAATCAACTACCGTCAAGCAAAATCCACCACTGTGTGACACCACAGGACACAGGCAAGTGACACTAGAGGGCTTCCAAGGTTGTAAATCATGTGGAGACAGCCTGTCTTTCTCCCAGAGAGCAGATGATGGTTCAAACTGAAATGTTATCAGACAGGTATAACACCACACTACCATTTAATTTAAAAAGACTTGTGATCAATAATTACAAAAAATTGTCTATTTGGTGGTGGTGTGTACCTACGGGTTGGAACAAGCCCATAGCTGACCCTCTAGTGGGTTTTCAGGCTGTAAATCACACGAGTGGAGACTGCCCGTCTTTCTCCTGCAGAACAGTTGATGGATTTCAACTGTTTGTCTTCAGGTTGACAGCACAGCGTCTTACCACTAGGCCACCAGAGCACCCTTGTTTATTAGTAGACTAACAAAGATGATAGAATTGTTCTATATTAGTAGGAAATCTGTCTTAAAATTATAAGGAGTTTTTCAGTCTTTTTGTAAACATAAATAAATACTTTCAGATTTTCCAATATATATTATGTTTACTTAGAAGGATTCAATGTACAAAATGAAAGTTTAATGTGATTGTCTTGCTGTTTACCATCAAATAAAAACAGATCCACTTCTGACCCTCCAGCGGGTTTTCAGAGGCAGTAATCACACGAGAGGAGGTTGCCTTCCTTCTGCAGAGAAGCTGGCAGATTTGAACTGTGTGCCTTTGGGATTGCAGTGCAGATTCTTTACCACTAGGCTACCAGAGGTCCCTAAGTATCTCACATCTTTTTGAACGCAGCAGTACATTTGAGAAGTATCCTTTTAGTAAATCAGAATTGTTTTCTTGTTGTTATGTAGAGTTGAGTTAGAAATGACTCATAGTTGACCTTTCAGTGACTTTACAGAGATAGTAAACTGCATGGGAGAAAACTGCCCATCTTTCACAGAGCAGCTAGCAGATTTGAACTGTGTCTTTGTGTTGGTAAAGCAATTTCTTATTATTAAATCACCAGAGTTCCCTAAATTAGAGCAGTGATATATAATTATACTTGGAATAGAATGTGTAACTAAAATTGGAATAGTTGTTGCTCAACATTTTTAAGAGAGTAGATTTTTTTAGTTAGGAAAAAAGTAATGATGAACATTAATGAATGTACCAAATCATAAACAATGAAATAGTAAGTTTTAAGTCATATGAATGTCTTAATTACCTGTTATATCTAATTTTCGAATGGAGGGACGTGACTAAGAACAAACGGACAAAAAATTGAGAGCAATGAGGAAAATATAATAATTTCATTTTAGTCAAAGAAAGGATAATATTAAAGAAAAGCTGTGGAAGAGAGAAGATTCATAAAATAGTACAAGGAGTGCAACTATTTAAGGAAAACAGCATGGTAATCTTTTCACTAATTTTAATTTTTTTCAAATAATTGCCTTGACTTTGGACTGAATCTGTTGGTGAGATCCACCGTTCTTATTGGAATTCTCATTCTTTAAAAAAACAATTTTAATATTTATCTCTGCAGTATTTCATTTCAACTGTAAATAGCAATATAAAAAATGCCTTTAAATAACATTGTTGTATTTAAAACAGAAATTACCACATATAAAATGGGGAATCTAAAACCTAACAGAGCAAAAAAAAGTGTCATCATGAGAAACTATATTACTACCTTAGCCTCATGGTATATTCCTAAGGGACAAAGTCACAGAATATGAATCAAGACACTGTGTTCAATATATAAGATGTATTCTATGGACTGGAAAATAGTCACCTTGGGAATCTATCATGCTGATGATAAAATGGTACACACAATTTGGATATATGAACTACATATTTTTACACTTGCTATATAACACTTGCTATAAATGTGTGTGTGTGTGTGTGTGTGTGTGTGTGTGTGTGTGTGTGTGTATGTGTGTATACAAGTTCAGTGGATATAAGAAAATTACACAGCGAATTTTTGAATTGAGAGATTATTGATACTTTTAAACACAGTTTTAATGTAGGATTGTAGACCATAAATTAGATTACAATTGGTTGACACATAAATGCAAAATGAATGAAAGGTAAAGGAAAATGTAAGCTATTTTTAAGGGAAGGACAGAGCTTGATTGCTTGAGTATGTAGTTATTGAGGAAATTGAATGGGAAGGAGAATTGAAAATCTAAGGTATCAAAGTCTGAGAGAACAATGTTCCAGGGATACATAGAAGAATATAAAAAGCACGGACTTTGCTTAAATACTAGATCATTTTATTACCTTAAATTAAATAGAAAGCAATTTAGGTATTTATATTAAGTTTGAGCCAAAAAGCTTCAGAATTTTTCCTGGTGAAAAATAGCAAGATTCAGAATGAAATTTTAGGAATATTTTTAAAGTATTGATTTATTTTTCTAATTTCTAGAAGAGTTAAAATGTCTTCTAGGTATGATTCAACAGTAAATGGCATTTTTTTAAAATTAAGTGCCACTGAGTCATAGGGACCCTATGAGAGAAAATCTTGAACACAAAACTTTCATCTTTTCTCAAAGTTCATAGAGTTTCCAAATGGTAATAGTCTACATTTTATCAACATACGTTACATAAAAATTCTCTGCACTTAGAACTTAAAATTATGGCTGTGGTATTGGAATAGACTCATAGCTGACCCTCCACTGCACTTCTAGAGATTATTAATCACAAGCAAGAAGACTGCTCATCCTTTCCCTAAACAGTTACTGGTGGATTTGAACTGTGCTAGGGGTGTGGCCTTTGGGCTACAAGCACAAACTACAAACTATACTACTTGAGTGCCCTCCATTTAGAATAGTTAGCTTTAATTAGAAAGGATGCTATCATCAGTTTTGGTGAGGAAAGTTATGGATTCCTGGATGCATTTCAGAAGGCCACATGGGTACTTGCATCTATTCTCCAACTCAGAATGATTATCAACTACTTAACTCATGGGAAGCTCTGCTGGCTTAGTGGTAAGGAGTTGCACTGGCAACCCGAAGGTGAGCAGTTTTATTCCATCACCTGTTCCATGGAAGAAAGATGGGCAATCTCCTTCAATGCAATTTATAGCCTCTGAAAACCTTTGGCAGGGTCAGCTGTGAGTGGGTTCCAATTTTATGGCAATGCAGCATGTAAAGAAGAAATGTAGAGGCCATCTGAACTTGGACCTGGCTTTGGTCCCAAAGGATTGCTCTTTTGAGGGTCAAATCTTGTTTCAAAGAACTCCCAGTTGCCATTAATTCGGTTCATGGTGAGCCCATAGGCATAGGGTTTTCAATGGCTATCTTCTTTCCAAAGTAGTGAGCCAGTCCCTTGTTCTGAAGTATCCTGGCTCAATTCTATCTACTTTTCGGTCAGCAGCGAGATGCTTAATCATTTGCACCACATAAAGAAGCCTCATGAACATTCAACATAGGTTAGAAAATACAAGAATTCATCTTCCATAACTTAAAAGAGGTTACTTTCATTACAATAAACAACATCTATTTTAGCTCTAGGGAGTTATGATGGCCTAGTGGGTAGGGAGTTGCGCTGGTAACCCGAAGATGGCACCTCTGTGGCAGTCTGAATCCCTCTGTGTCTCCTTGGAAGAGGGATGAACAATCTCTTCCCGTGCAATTTACAATGTGAAAACCCACTTCAGGGTCAGCTATGAGTTGTTTCAAAATGGTGCTGAGGTGATTTTAGCTTTAGGCTGATAAAACTATTTTCCATGGAGAAACTAATGCTACTTAAAACTTCTTACCTGCATGTTTGATGGTGAAACTTCTTTCCTTTTAAGAAGCATTTCTGTGGATTTTCTGTACATTCACAGGCACACTTTCCAAGGTTCAGAGGTTGATTCCTTGGGCAGGTTCTTTTACATACACATTGACATGTATCTTCATCAAATTCTCTGTTGGCCCCACAGGAGCTGGGGAAGAGTTTGTTTTTACAGACGCACTGGCATGAGTTTCTGTCTAGTTCCTTGTAGGGTCCACAGCTGGATGGTCGAAGTCCTCCTTTACAGACACACTGACAAGTTTCCTCATCGAGATCCTTGTGGGGTCCACAGATACCATGGGCTTCCTCTGCAGGGTTGAGAGAATTCTTAGTTTACCTTACTTGGTATGAAATATTAAGAATTGTACTCATTTTTATTTATTTTACTAAAGGGTTATGTGCAAAGGTGATTGTGCTCCTTTACAAAGAAACTTAATAAAATAATACCAACATGAGGTTTAGAATGTCTTATTTTGTGGTTTCATATTTCAAGGGATCATGGCCTGAATATTATGCATGTGGTTTTAATCATAAATATTTGTTAATTAAAATGTAAACCCTAGGAAGTTAGTCTTTATTTAAAACAGTATTCTGCTTACCATCTCCAGTGCTGGAAGAGAAAAGAAAATCTTGCTGAGCCAAGCATCTGCAGATGTGATTGTTCCACATGTAGCTTGTAGGGCAAGTCTTATTTGCTGCTTGACACCTTTACAAGACATGGAAGCAATGGGATAGCTGTTACATAGAAGAAATCATCTCTTTCTTTCCAAAATGAACAAAAACTTCTAAACAGACTTTAAAATATGTTGTTGTTATAGGAATGCATAAAAGAAAGTTAGGACATTCCCTCTCCAGCAATACTTCATCTCCAGGTGCTGCATGGTTTCCATCACTTTGGACTTGGATAAAATTGTCAATGTATTTATAAAATTTAACCTTTCCCCCACTACACAATATGCTATGAACAACTTTATATCTCAGTTCATAAAGCTGTGTTCCATTATTTTTAGGGATTTAATAATATGCCATAAAGTAGATGTATTAAGTTGCTTTTTGCTCTTTTACTTTTTCTAATAACATTGCAGAAAATATCACTGTATAATTCTTTCTCAACCTATTTCATCCTTTGTCTTAGCAGCGAAACATTCTACAGACTATCTGACCAAAGCTCTCTACTGAAACACAGGAGCCCCCCCCCCCAATTATAAAGGCTCTGTTAATGCTAGTTGACCTGCTTCATTCCCATTTTTACACTTTTATTCTCTTCCCTTCCTCCTTCTTTTCTTTCCCTTTCGTTTTTGCTTCTAGTAAAAAGTATGAACATATGAACTTCAATTAATTATGCAAATGTTAAGTCTCAGCTGCTAGCTGATGGCTGCTAGTTCAAATCATGTAGTAGTGTTGCAGAAAACTCATTTATTTTTTCTGCCTCTTGAAAGGTCACACAGCCTTGAAACCCCAATGGAGCTGTTAGTTCTATTTGATACACATGGAGTTGCCATGAATTTAGATCAACTCAACTGTCTACTAGTGGCTAACTGAAAAGTTAAGAACCCATTATTCTGACAGCTTTGCTCTTTGACATTGTATAGATGTCATGCCTGGAATAAATCTTTAATTGAAGGAATTTTTTTTTCTGGCTAGGAAATTTTTAAAGGCCACCATTTGGAATTGTCTGCTCAATGGCATCAGATTGCATTACCTCTTAGCATTTGCAGTGGGCAAAACTAGAAAATGCAACTATATCACACAGAAGGGCTTTGAAGGTAACATTTATACAATAGAAGGACTCTTTGCTTTTATAGTTAAGCATCAAAGATAGATATATAAAGCTCAAATGTCTAATTTTCAAGCTTATGTTTGTGGAAGGAAAGTAATTATTTACACACTGCATAGTTAATATAATATTTTAAAAACATTATGTGATGGAAGAGTGATGGGTTACATTCCAGATCGGTAGAGTACAAGAATTGACTAAACATTTAAGAAGTAAACAAAGAGTTTTAAGCAAAAGGGGTGCTTATCTCAGAAATTTCTGGTGCTAAGAATATATTCACAGAACCAACATGTGACAGTGCATCATTTTGTTATTATGCAAAGAAACATTTTTTTAATGAATAGGTTGATAATTCTTGCTATTTATGAACATAAAAAATATGAAATTGGCAATTATTTTTTCACTGTAACCCTCTTCCTGATGATTCATTAAAGCATTCTTTTTCAGCAATCTAGCCAGGGGTACTGAGACAGAGAATTTCTACTAGTATCGCTAAACCAGGTAGCTAGTTAGAAAAAAACTCATTTATTTCATTCACAACACCACTTTCTGCAAATAGGAATGGCTGCTTTAATTCTAGCATTCTCTTTGTTTCTCAAATTTATTTAGGTTTTCTATTCCTTTTATTCTTTTACTTACTTTTAAAAAATTCATTGTTGCACATTTTCTTCCCCCTCTCCCTTTCCCCTGTTGTTGTTATGTGCCATCAAGTCGATTGCGACTCACAGCGACCCTATGTACAACAGCCCAAAACTCTGCTCTGTTCTGTGCCAATCGCACCGTCTCCGACACACCCATCCCGATTACCCCAGTCACTGAATCAATCCACCTCATAGAGGGCCTTCCCCTTCTGCACTGTCCCTCCACCCTCCCAAGCATGATGTCCCTCTCCAAGGACCTGTCCCTCCTTGCAACATGTCCAAAGTATGTCACAGAGCCTTAGAATCCTTGCCTACACCCTAAAACGCACACCTTGTTGCAGATTGTTCACACACACACACACACACACACACACACACACACACACACAATGCCTAATCATATATTCCTTTCAGTGAGTTCTGCCCTTCATCTGTTCTATTGCAGTGGTCATTATTTATCCACTCTCTTCTCATTCTCTTCTCAAACCTGCCCGATGTCAGTCCTACAGCAGTGTTATGCAGTGTTTGTCCTTCTGTGACTAAAATATATCACCCTACATGTCATCCAGGATCCAGGCCTCCCTCACTGTGCAACATCCCAATATGGGACTGTACCATTGTTCTTCCATGCATTCATTTGTTGATGAGCACTTGGGTTGCTTTTGTCTCTTTTCTAGTGTGAACAATGCAGCTCCACTAAGGTTCCTTAATTCTTACATTTTATCCAAATCATTAATAGTTACATTAACAGGTCTTCCTTATGTACATGTATGGATCACTTCAAATCATTGCAGTTTATGATAGATAATGAAATTGTCCTTCTGACTGTAAATATAACACTATTCTTCTTCAAGTCTTCATTCCCAGCACTATAGATCACATAATTGTCTGATTCAAAGTGGTCATAGCCAGTCCATCGCAGCTTACTAATGCCTAGAAGAGTGTAAATTTTTTTGCATCCTGGGCTCTATGAGGAGAATTGTGGCATCAGGATTGGTGGAAGATCTATCAACTATCTCCGTTATGCAGATGACACAACCTTGCTTGCTGAAACTGAGGAGGACCTCATGCGCTTGCTGCGAAGGGTCAAGGACTGCAGCCTTCAGTATGGACTAAGGCTCAACGTCAAGAAGACAAAGATTCTCGCCACTGGACCAATTGGCAGCGTCAGGATGGATGATGAAGAGATTGAGAGTGTTCACAGCTTCACTTTGCTCGGCTCCACAGTTAACACTCTTGGTACCAGCAGTCAGGAAATCAAAAAGCGTATCGCGATGGGAAAGTCTGCCGTTAGGGACCTCTCAAACGTACTCAGGAGCAACAGTGTCTCTCTGGAGACAAGGTGCGCCTGATACAGGTCATGGTATTTGCAATCGCTTGTTATGCATCAGAGAGTTGGATAATGACTAGGGAGGACAGAAGGAGAGTGGATGCTTTTGAGCTGTGGTGCTGGAGAAGGGTACTGAATGTACCCTGGACTGCCAGGAAAACAAACAGATCCATCTTAGAGAGGATTAAAGCAAGCTACTCCTTGGAGGCAAGGATTCTGGGGCTTCGTCTGACATACTTTGGACATGTTGCCAGGAGGGACGGGTCCTTGGAGAGGGACATCATGCTTGGGAGGGTGGAGGGACAGCGCAGGAGGGGAAGACCCTCTATGAGATGGATTGATTCGGTGACTGGGGTAATCGGGATGGGTGTGTCAGAGGCGGTGCGGTTGGCGCAGGATAGAGCAGGGTTTAGAGCTGTTGTGCATAGGGTCGCTATGAGTCGGAAACGACTCAATGGCACATAACAACAACAACAATTTAATTTTTATTACTTTCAACTTTCCAACATTCATGCTTTTATTACATTCCATGTTCCAATGTTAATAGATGTTTATAGCTATTTTTCCTCATTTTTAAAATATATTCTACCCTAGGGGTCTACCTCTAGTACTATGTTTAACAGTGTTTTTCTGGATTGTTCATAGGGTTTTCAAAGGCCAGTTAAGATTGAATCTGGAAGCTCTGCTGAAAACTGTCCATCACTGGTGACTCATATTGAAATGCAGGTGGAACACCTTCCAGCATCCCAGCAGTCAGCAAGCTACCTCAGAAAACAGTAAACTGAAAGACAAGTACTGTACTCACAAGAACAAACTATGAATAAGCTAGCCTGTGATACACAAATTATAAAGCTGAAACACAGATGGCAACTATACACATTAATTTCATCTGATGGACTGCACGGGAATCAGACTGACTACATCTGTGGGAAGAATTACTGGAGAAGATCAGTATCAGCAATCAAACCACACCAGGTGCTAACTGTGGAACAGACCATCAATTACTTACATGCAAGCTGAAGTTAAAAAAATTAAAATAAGTCCATAAGAACCAAAATATGACCTTGAGTTTATCCCATCCGAATTTAAAAAATCATCTCAAGAACACGTTTAAGGGATTGAACAGTAAGGATCAAAGAAGGGATGAACTGTGTGATTGTATCAAAGGTACCTCCATGAGGAGAACAAAAGGTCATTACAAAGACAAAGGAGATAGAAAAGACCAATATGGATGTCAGAAGAAACTAAAAATCCTGCACTAGAATGTAGAGAAATTAAAAAGGTAAGAGAAGCTGCAGTTAAAGAGATGAGCAGAATATTTCAAAGGGCAGCTAGGGAAGACAAAGCAAAATATAATGGACTATGCAAAAAAGCTGGAGTTTGGGAGAATGAAAAATAAAAAAAAACCTTGGTTGGCATTTCTCAAACTGAAAGAACACAAAACCCAAATTCAATATGCACAGTGAGAAATGCTATGGGAAAGTCTTGAAAGATCCAAGAAGCAGGAGAAGACGGAGGGATAACTTGTACAAAAAGTAATAAGGTGACACTGAGGTATTTCAGGAAATAGCATATGATAAAGAGCTAACAGTGATGGGGGAAGAAGTTCAAGATACACTGAAAGCATTGAAAAATAATAAAGCCCAAAGGAATCAATGGGGTATCTATTTACGTGTTTCAAATAACTGATGTAGCCCTGGACATGCTCACCAGTTTGTGCCAGGAAATCTGCAAGACAGATTACCTGGCCACCTTACAGGAAGACATCCATATGTGTTACCATTCCCAAATCATCAAAGTGATCCAAAGGAATGTGGAAGATATTTAAAAATATTATATGCAAGCAAAATATTCTTCAAGATCATCCAAAAGTACCTAGAACAGTCAGAAGCTCAAGATGCATTCTGAAGAGGTCATGGAACTGAGAATCTCATCGGTGATATCAGACAGATCTTGGC